GACCAATCCAACTGTATCATTCCAGCCAGGGCTTTGTTGAGCCAAGCCTTAAATGTCCCTTTCTTTGAGGACTTGCTCCATGATTTTTCTGGAGACTGAGGTGAGGCTGACTTGTCTGTAGTTCCCTGGATCCTCCTTCTTCCCTTTCTTAAATATGGGCACTGTATTTGCCTTTTTCCAGTCACCTGGGACCTCCTCCAATAGCTACGAGTTTTCAAAGATAACGGCCAGCTCCCTCACCACCCTTGGATGCAATGCCCCATGGATTCGTATACGTCCAGCTTTTCTAAATGGTCCCTAACCTGTTCTTTCACCACTGAGGGCTGCTCCCCTCTTCCCCAAACTGTGCTGACGGATGCAGTAGTCTGGGAGCTGACCTTGCCTGTGAAGACTGAGGTGAAAAAGGTATTGAGTACTTCAGCCTTTTCCTCCTTATTTGTCCCTAGGTTGCTTCCCCCATTCAGTAAGGGCCCACACTTTCCCTGATCTTCCTTTTGTTCCTACATATTTGTAGAAACCCTTCTTGTTGCCCTTCACATTGCTTGGTAGCTGCAACTCCAGTTGCGATTTGGACCTTCCTGACTTCATTCCTGCATGCCTGAACAATATTCTTGTACTCCTTCCAAGCTGTTTGTCCAAGCTTCTAGTTCTTGTAAGCTTCCTTTTTGTGTTTAAGCTCACTGAAGAGTTCTCTGCTAAGCCATGCTGGACACTTGCCACTTTTGCTATTCTTTCTGCACATCAGGATGGTTTGTTCCTGTGCCCTCAGTAAGGTTTCTTTAATTTACAACCAGCTCTCCTAGATTCCTTTCCCCCTCAGACTGTCCTCCCAGGGGATCCTGCCCATCAGTTCCCAGAGGGAATCAGAGTCTGCTTTTCTGAAGTCCAGGGTCCTTACTCTGCAGCTCTTCTTCCTTCCTTTTGTCCTGATCCTAAACTCAATCATTTCGTGGTCACTGCTGCCCAACTTGACTTCCACATGTACACCCCCCACCACTTCTTCCCTGTTTATGAGCAGTAGGTCAAGAAGAGCATGACCCCTACTTGATCTCTCCAACACTTGCATAAGGAATCTGAAGTCCAGGGTCCTTACTCTGCAGCTCTTCTTCCTTCCTTTTGTCCTGATCCTAAACTCAATCATTTCGTGGTCACTGCTGCCCAACTTGACTTCCACATGTACACCCCCCACCACTTCTTCCCTGTTTATGAGCAGTAGGTCAAGAAGAGCATGACCCCTACTTGATCTCTCCAACACTTGCATAAGGAAGCTGTCTCCAACGCTCTCCAAAAACTTCCTGGATTGCCTGTTCATTGCTATATTGCCCTCCCAGCAGATGTCAGGGTGATTGAAATCCCCCATAAGAACCAGGGCCTGTGATCTGAAAGCTTCTGCTACTTGTGTGAAGAGAGCCTCATCTGCCTCATCCTCCTGATCCGGTGGTCTATAGCAGTTGCCCATCATGACATCACCCTTGTAGCTCTCCCCTCGAACCTTAACCTGGAGACTTTCAACAGGCCTATCTCCAGTTTCATACTGGAGCCCTGAGCTGTATAATTGCTCATTTACATAATGCACAACTCCCCCTCCTCTTCTGCCCTGCCTATCCTTTCTGAACAGTTTGTACCCATCCATGTCAGTGCTCCAGTTATGCGAGCTATCCCACCAAGTCTCTGTTATTCCAATCATATCATAGTTCCTTGACTGTGTGAGGATTTCCAAGTCTTCCTGCTTGTTTCCCAGGCTGCATACATTTGTGTACAGACACCTGAGGTGACTAGCCAATTGCCCTACTTTCTCAGGAAGAATGAGGCCTCCCCAGTTGCACTGTCCTATCTGTAAAACACAGGTCCCAGCCTGGAAGCACAGGGCCCTGTGAAGCATGCGTATCAATAAGGAGGTGCAAACCAGTCAGGGACATGGGGAATCCCCTGGCAAAGGGAATGTGTTGCCTGTTGTCCTGCATTGGGTTTCTGCACAGTGCAGGATAACAGGCAACATGTATTTCACCTAATAAAGTGGATCAACTGTGGTGGGATGTCCCATCACAGCCAGTCAGCTTTGTTTGGTGACATGTTTTTACCCTAAGTCTCACTTTTTAGCAACTGCACCAGAGACACAGTAGATAATAGAGACAGACCTCTCCCCTAGACGTGGTACCTACTAGGTGTGGCAGTTGTGACATCCTGGTCCCACTGAAGTCTGTGGGAGTTGCTCCATTGACTTCAGTGGGACTGGGATTTTACCTTCAGTATTTGAAAAGTAGCTGAGTAATAGCTGTTCCTATGTACTGTCTCAGTAAATATTCTGGAAGGCAGAAGCTGATATCTAGGTAGAATAGATGTCTAGGTAGATCTTAACAGAACTACAGCATGTTCCAGGTATTTCATCAGGGTTCTATGTTACCCTTGGTACTCTGCAAATGTTAAGTCCAACCAAAATATGACATGAATAACAACCTGCACCCAAAATCTATATTAAGGATTTCAGCTTCCAGTTTTGGCCTATCTGCTTGGCTAATCTGTGAGGGATGAAAAGGCAGGTCAGTATCTGCAGAAGCAGCAGGCTTGTGTATAAGGCCCACTCATGATTTAGACTCAAGTTAGCCACACCTATCTCTGTGGCTATGGACACATAAATAAGTTAATCCATGGTAAATCAAATTGTCCTAATTTTATATGAGAAACAAGGGGCATGGTATGGGTAAGGCCATTGAACACATGGCTGCGGTTCAAAAAGCAATGCCCCAAAGTGGCAGATCTATCTCTGGATGAATCAGGACTGCTTTCTCACATATTCAAAAGTTTGCCTTTTAGTGCAGAGCTTTCTCATTTCTCCCACACTCAAATGAGCAGCCTGCAACACTGTGATTCACTTCAGGTAAATCCCCCAATCTTTGCCCCTCCATTCATATTTCCATGGTCTTCAGATGCTTTTGATCCACCCTGGGAAAGAAGACTAGTTGTCCTCTGAGTAAGAACTGCTCACCATTATCTAGAGCAGTGGTTCTCAACTTTTTTTGTACCAGGAGCCATTTTTGAACACTGATGGCCAGTCCTGACTCACTGCCCCCAGGCCACAACCCCCCAGTATGTGGAACAGTGGGGCAGGGTGGTGTTGTGACATGGGGGCGGCCCTAGGCAGCCCCTTGCAGGCTGGAACTCAGACAGCTTGCAAGGGAGAAGCCGTGGTTTCCAAAGTTTTGGGTTTTTTCCTTTTAAAGGAGAATCCATTTCTTAAATTTGTTGGTCCGTTCTTAAAGTTTGTTTGCAACCCTTTCATATATTTGCATGACCCACTTTTGGGTTGTGACCCACGGGTTGAGAAACACTGATCTAGAGGGTGCTTTGCCAAGTTATTACATCCTGGATAAAATCCCTGTGGTGATCAGAGCAGTGGTGTCACCCTGCCTCCCTCCCTGCTTGCTTATCTTCCTGCTGTTATGGACAGGCCCAGTAGAGACCCCCATAATCTCTACCCACAGACTGCGATAATATCACCTGATTACTGTCAGGCAAGTTCCATTTTCAGCAGGGGATTTAGAACAAAAATCGGTGTCAAATCCTATTTCGGTTCTTAAGGCCTCTCTCTCTCCTTAATGGTTTCCTGCTTGTTGTTAGAATGTGATGGTGTCCATGCTTTGTTTCTAACCTGCTGTAGACATTAACAGAGGATGGTGCAGTGATTGAAAAACATCCTCGGCTACCAGCCTAACACAGTTAATGTGTTGATCTGCTAATAAGATCAACATGATCGTGCATGAAGCCATAAAGGGCTGGGTGTACTGATGGACTCTGTCTGTCAGCTCGCATTAAAGGTGGGAAGGCACTACAAAGCCACTTAGTAGCTTATCTCCTTGGATAGTAAAACTTGTGCAAGGCTTGCTCCCTGATGGCACACAACTAATGTAAAGCCATTCAAGAAAGGTAGGACTTATGTTTTATAGGTAGTATGTGATTGTGGACAGTGCTTTGTGATGCCATTGTCTTTCTTCGTGTTATCTGTGTAGAATCTGGCTATCAGCCTTTGTTTGATCACACTGACTAGAATTAGCAGTCTTGCCCTTGAAGAGGCTTTCTGTCTCTGAGCAGGTATGGTAGACAAGGACATAGTTCAGAAAGGGTTTTTGCTAGCAGACATCTTGCATTCCACTCTTGTGGCCCCTGTGCTTCAGTTCTTTGCATGGGAGAAGAACTCCCAAGGGGGTTATTTTTACCCATAAAGTAAAAAAAAAAAATAAAAAATTAAAGGTTCCATTTAGCAAGGTAGATAAATAACCATGAGATCTCTCTCTTTCTGTTTCCTCTCAGTAAAGAATCCTGTCCTCCTGCCAGCTGCAGTAACCTTCCCAAACGTGCACACCCTCCCAGCAAGGACTTGCACGTGCACACCACTTCTTCCGCTGTGGTTGAACAACCTCCTAATATCACCTTTTTTTCTAGGTGCCAAGCTCTCCCATGCTGACCTGTACCATTGTGTCCATTTGAGTTTCCCCTCTGTCTGACTCTTGTGTTTTTCCACAGTCCTTCACCAGGTCTAACTGACAGCCTTTTCTAGGTACTGAAATTCTTTAACTGTCCTCTGAAAAAACAAACCCAAGCTACAGCTTTCTCATCAAGTGCCACAACATTAACTCCTTCCCTTCAATGTATGATCTAAACTGTGCTCAAGACATGCAGGTATCTATGCACATTAGTGAGTTAGTATTCTAATAGACAGTTACCTACGCTGCCTTGTATATCTGCCCGGTTAAGAAGTACAGTTACTGTGTATTGGGGTGTGTGCATTCATGTCACTGTCTGTATTGTTACGCATGTCTGTGTGGGAAAGCTGAATCTGTGAAGGGCAGGGACTACCAGAAAGAATCTTGTCTGGTATTTTGAGACATCTGGATGTAATGCTCATTTATGTTCAGAGACGCCAAGTTCTTCTCCTCTGCTGACTGACAGCAAATGTTCTGAGCTTATTGCCCTTGCCAAATTCTGTTTGTTTCCACCTCCAGAGGATATGTCCTTCGATGTCTCCTGGTTTGCTGTGCGTTCCTTTGCTCTGGACAGGGAACCAGTCTTTCTCGCCTCATTGGATCGGACAGGAATAGTGACCCAGGCCAGGAGGAATGGGAGCAGCGATCTCAGCCTGGAGAGGATCAGCCCCTTGGAATTCCGGCTACGTGTGCACAGCAGTGAGGACCACGACTTCGGCAACCACTACTGCTCAGTGACACCTTGGGTGCGTTCACCCACGGGTGTCTGGCAGCAGGAACCAGAGATCAAGTCCAAGCCCATATTTCTGTCTGTGAAGATGGATGGTAAGGATGTTTAGAGAACTTCCCCTGGTTGAGGCTAGGGGATGTATTTGCCACAGCCCCTGTTGGAGATGCAAAGGCCAAATATCCCTCATTCTGCATCTGCCTCGCCTTAGAGGCTGCTATATTGTGGCCTCCTCTCTGGGGGCAAAAACTGTACAGCACACTTCAGAATCCATTGGTACCTCTGCTTTATACTGTCAGTGGGGCAGTATTCCATGGCACTGCATGCTGCCAACCTCTACTTTTTTACAATGCAAGAACAGGTAGACTTTTAAAATTCCTAATCATACTCTGTGCTCAGGCCTGAATGTTTTACACAGGTTAAGTGAAGCGCTTCCCTTTCCGAAGTCAAGTTTCTGGCAGATGTTACTTTTGTTGCACTTTAAATGGGAATTTAGCACAAAACAAGTGAATGTTCAGACGTCACACTGGTCGACACAACCACACAATCAGACACAAAAATGGCAGATCCAGGACAGAAAAGCTGCTGTTTCAAACAGCAACTTCTTTATCGAAGAAGATTTGCCATCACAAATTTTATAGTGCGTACAGGTCTGAGAGACCTACCCACCCCGCTCAGTATCCCGTAGTACTCTCTCTCTCCTCCTCTAATGGGGAGGAAAGGACAGAGTGGCTGGTTCCCTAATAGCCTGCAGGAACTCATGTCTGGGCAGCCCTATCCCCTTTGCTGCCCAGGGTCCAGCACTGGCAGTTTTTACACTGTAGTGGTGTTG